TTACAAAACCTGTGATTTTCCGGAACTAAAAAACTGGATTTTTTTCTGATTTTTGTCTTTTATTTTTTTTTACAGGGTCTTCATCATTGTTTTACCAAAAGGTATAGTAAATTTTACTGATCATGCCCACAGATGCCATCGCTCTGGTGAATACCAGTTGGTCCAGAGATATACTCATAGTATTCGCAATGAATTTTTGATGCATAATTGATACATCTTCTTTACAGCATTTCTTCTAATATCTGTTGGTGTTAATGTGTTTCCCTAAGCATCAATAGGTATTAAGGGATACATATCGAAGTGTTTTTGCATAAGCTTCAAAATCATTTCTCAATATGTTGGTGGGCAGATGATATATGTTCTCGGATCACGATTTTCGTCTGTTGGATAAAATGTGTGATTGACAAAGTCAAACTCATCAGTTGCTTGATTAATATTGTAAGTTATACATAATTGTGCTTCATGTCCTGCTTTATCTGATAGCTTGGCTTTTTCTCTGAGTTTAAGTTTTAGGGTCCGATTCATATGCCAAGCGCATAGCTGAACTATTGAAGGTCTTCACACCTTAGTCGAGACATTAATTTCAGCAAAATCTTTGTCTGTAAACACAAAATCTGGATTGACATCATGTACCTTTATGATTTTTAAGAAGCTCTCCAGAACTTTACGACATCTGCCCATATTGGTACTCGTATTTGTTGCTTGACTTGTATCAAGTATTAAGTAGGCAATTGAAAAGCTGGTGCCTTTAACATCTGTGATGACACCATAAAGTTCATAATGTCCTCTTGTAGTTTTATAAGTCACGTCAAGGTAAATCTTGCAGATGTTAATATTACGATTCTTAATTTCTTCTAACAGTAAGATGATGAAACCGATGGCGGTGGTTTCTGAATTTTTAATATTTAAGCACCATCGGAAGCCATGAGTTTCATGCTCACTAAGCAATTGGCACGCGGATTCAATATAATTATCATAACGTTTAAATAGCTTTTGGCTCACAACTGACTTCCAAAAGTAAAGACGCTTGGGTGAATACTTTGAGATATCAAATCCTTTACGCTGTAGGTAATTTTTCAATTCTATTATAGTAAGATGCAAGTATATTTTGATCTCTTTCCGTAATTCGTTTGGCATTTCAATGCAGAGATTTGGGCGTGGATAAAGATGTCCATGGTAAATATCTACTTTTGCAGCATTAAGAACCAAATCAACTCGCACTATAACTTTTCCTTTGCAATCATAGTGTATTTGTCATTTTTAATTGGAATCTTTATCATCTTCACATTGCGCCTCTTTCGACTGACAACAAGCATAATAAAATCTGCCAATTGTGCCTCCAAATTTTTTTGACATTTTCACTTTTAGAAAGCTACAATAATAGTATCAAGTTAGCAATAATTTAAGAAGTATCTTATAATGAGATGATACTTACTTCCACGAATAATTATCTCCACCTTCAATTTCAGCTACTATAAGATTAGCTATCTCTTTTGCCATCTTGCTTTGAGTCATAGCAGCATCCATATTTACTAGCAATTGAGTTCAGTAAGCTGCGTTAGCTACTCCATCGATTTGTGATCCAATTGTCAGTTCTTGAATTTCATTTTCAACGAAGTCACCCACATCAAGATAGTTGACTTCAACACGTATATGTTCTGCTTCAGAGCATTCACTTATAACTGTTCCATTATGCTCCTCCCCCTCGGATTCTTTGGATACTTTCTCTGTTATATGAATGAATGCATTAAGATCTTTATTCAAAACATCGGAAGAAGCTTCCAAATTCTTTTGTCGACTCAATTCATAATTAATTATTGGCTGTGTGATTCTATTTGACATTTTATTCTCTTTACCCTTTGATTCATAGTTCTCTTTGCATCTTTTACATGTTTTATGACATTTGGCATCCCAAATTAATTGGTCATTTGATCATTTGGTTTTGCATTTATTGCAGAAATCCATTAATTACGATTTTATTGATAATTGATAAGCAAATGCTTAAATATACAATTTTTTGACTCCTATTTTTGAAGATCTTTACGGTTTTGATCTATGAAAGGGTAACGCATCTTAGAAGAAAACACTGCAAAAAGAAGAAAATACTTCAAAAAGGGTATCATCCAGTAATACTCCTGGTGGTTCCATTTCCTGGAGCAATCTTCACTATGCATCTTGGATCACGTGCTTAGTTTGGTATTTCGTATAGCTTGATCAAGAATGGAAAAGTGAAATGGCATTAAAGAAAAAGATATATTTGGTTTATTTAATACCATAATTTGGAATGTATTCTTTGAGTCTATAATTGGTGAAAAGCTATCATCGAGCATGCAATCGGTAAAAATTAGACTGAACAAGCAATGTGATATTACCAGAGAATCATTTATGATATTTACTGGATTACCTGAAAATTATCTGAAGACTATTCAAGTGTATCTGTGAATATTCAGGTAAACTCTAATATTATTAGATTGATTGCTAATTTTTTCGCTAATAGAAGATTACTATATTTATTCATTCATAATCGATCATAATCACGTTCTATATAATGCGTTAATCTTTATTTTTGCAACCTTTTCTTGGATTACTCGATTAACCTTATAAGCAATATGCGTGGAAAATATGTATTTCGTGATATAATAATTTTTATTTTTTTATGATTTTTGTACATATAATATAAATTCTACTAATTAATTACTTTTTTTCAATAAAGACTATCTATATTTAAATCTATTTTTTTTATTGATTAATGATGAATCAATCAATATCTTGTAACATATGATTGTTTGCTAGGGTTTCTCTTTAAACTGCTAACATGATTAAAAATTGGTTTGTGAAAGAGATTAAAAGAAATATAAAAAAAATTGATTTAAATCACGTTGATCTTCTACCTTAATGAATAAAAGATATAGGGTAAGAAGAGAACATTCTTATGATTATTAAAAGAACATACTTGAAAGTATAAATATCAGTTGGTTTCTTTCTAGCCAGAATTTTAGGTAGTTTTTTTTCAACCAACAGTTAATCGGAATCATCTTTCTGGTTCTTACTAAATTTCGGAAAAGATTACACAGTATAATGATCAGTTACCGCCAGGTCCAGAATTAATTCTGACTTGGGCTTGGCCATTGCCTGATTTTAAATAAACGTGATGATACAGGTGTCTGGGAAAAGAGAGAGACGTGATTAGATTGCAGAAACTTCTAGTTGTATGTTGCATTGCATATTGCTTGGTTGCAGGGGGGAGGATGGATGCGAGAGTAATTGACTTGACAAAAGATAAATAATTTAAAGGATTATACTTCTTCTTTGCATCTTCCTCGATTTCAAATATCACCTTTTTTGCTTTCTGATTAATATCAACCAAAACTACATGTCCTCCCATTATATATTATTCAAATTTTTCTTTTATCCATTCTTTGCTGATTTCAAATATACCCACATGTTTGTTCGAAAGCGACAAAAAGAAATCTTTAATTTCTGAAAAAAGTAGGTTTAGTTTGAGTGGCTGGTTTTTGGTTTCCTCCTTGGATTT